AGAGTAGGGATGGTGGTTGGACTGGGTGATCCCAAGGGGCTTTTCCAACCTATGGGGTTGTTGTTTGTTTTCTCTTTTTTCACAGTTTCACCTGGCTGTGCAGCCAAGTCCACACCAGCCTGGCCACCCACTTCCGTGGGCAGATTGTTGCGGAGTTTGAGAAGGAATTCCGGTCCCTGTACGCGGAGTCCAGGGCAGTGAGCAGCTTCTGCCTGCCGGGCCCTGGGGCCTGCCCCTCTGCCCAGGGCACCCCCAAAGCTGCCAGCTCCCTTCTGAAACCCACGCAGGTGAACAACACCGAAACCTCCAGCCCCTCCAGCAGCCTGTCCAACGTCAGCATCAGAAGCATCAAAATGTCTCCCTTCCTGAAAAACTCCAGCTGCAACACGCACCAGGAAAAGCAGGATTCAGGCTCCGACCCTGGCACCAGGAAGGGGAATGAGGACGTGTCCCTCAGGCCCGCTGGCCCCAAGCAGCAGGGAGAGCCACCAGACTCACGGAGCAGCCCTCCAAATAAACCCAGCCCAGCCTTGTACCACAAACCCAACCTCCTGACACCGAGGACATTCTTGCAGGCAGAGCCTTCCCCTGCCCCGAGCTCCAGCAAAGCTGCTCACCAAGGGTCCAGCAAGGCCACCAGCAGCCCCTGCTCCCCTCGGCGCCAGGAGCAGACCCCCCAGACCCGTTCAGATGGTGCCAGCAGCAACGGGACCAGCACAAAGCAGAAAGGGCCCCCTGGTCCCTCCGGGGAACCCGCAGCAGAAACCGACCCCACCTTCTGTGGGGTGGAAAAAAGACAGAGTCCCAGACAAGGAAAACTGGACCTGCTGTCCCCCTACGGCCAGTTAAAACGAGACAGGAAGGCTGGAGTGCCCTGCTACGAGCAGCTCCCCGAGGACGTGCTGATGGAGAAGACCAGTGCGTACGGGGCTGAGAAGAGGATGACCCTGGGGCACAGCAAGCTGGACCTGATCACCAAGTACAACAAGCTCAAATCTAAACACATACACAGCAGGTTCGAGCTCTGACCGGGGCCTCCCGGTGTCCTCGGGTCTGCTGGACAAGTTGGTGCTTTTCCCCATCGTAGCTGGGGCTTGAAATCAAAACACGGGTGGCAAATTAGCCTTGTTCTTATTAAAAGGGGTCTGTGCTGGTTCTAACAATGCAGATGAGGGGGTCGGGTGAGATGGGCAAGATTTTCAGACCCAAGGTCGTGGCAAGAGAGAGCAAACGACACCGACTTCATCCAGACTTCTGTGTTATTTTCACGAGCACCATTTCCCCCCCAAACTGGTGGCAAAACCAGTGCTCCAGCTGGGAGCTGCTGGGGCACCGCGGCCTTTGGGGTGAGCCCAGGGCTGGGTGCTGAGGGGTTCCTCTCCCTGTCTCCAGGTGTTGGAGATGAAGCGGTCGAAGGCGGGTAATGGTGTTAAAATAAAGGAGCTGTTGTGGTGGCAGGAGCTGTGGTGGGTCCCTGGTGGGTCCCTGGTGGGTCCCTGGTGGGTCCCTGGTGGGGAGGTGAGACCCCCGTGGTGGGTCCCTGGTGGGTCCCTGGTGGGTCCCTGGTGGGTCCCTGGTGGGTCCCTGGTGGGGAGGTGAGACCCCCGGGCATGGCCAGGGCCCCTCTGCTGGGCTGGGGGCAGGGCTGGGGGTCCCGGGGGGGATCAGCACAGGAGGGGATCAGGACAG